TTTTTTTTTAATTCAGAAAATCACTAACAAATTATTTTTAATTTTATTAATTAAAATAAATGGAAAATTGCATCAAATTAAAACTAACTTTAACCTGATCCCTATTTTGGGAAATCAACTTTTAAAATCGTCATTTACTATTTGATATTTAATCCATTTTAATTGATTATACGCTTGTTGGTAGTAGTTTTTTCTTCTTAGTATGGAATGCATATAAATTTGCTTCGATAATGAATTCTTGATGCTTATATTATATTTACCTTTTTCATACATCATTAGTTGATTATGAAATCATGTATTTTTGCAAATGTATTTTTGTAAGTAGTAGTGGTCAGGGGCGGAACACAAGCTTTCTAACCGTAGGGGCCGGAACTAGTATATTATATATTTCAAAGGTACCAAAAATACATTATCCAAAGTTATAACATAGTAAAACTTTAAAATTAAACGTTAAATATAAACATGTCAAACATCACAAATCAAAGTGGAACCCGTCTATCTTTCGCGACCTTGAACTCTTCCACAATTTCCTCCAAACTAATCTTTTCAGCTACTTCCCTTTCGATGAACAAAAGTAACGAGTCTTTTAGAAACTCATCATCCATTTTATTCCGTATTCTTGTTTTCACAATATTCATTGCTGAAAACGATCTCTCGGTTGTCGCGGTAGAAACTGGAAGAGTAAGTAATAGACTTATTAATCGATAAATAAGATCAAAAGTGATTTCTCTTCTAGTCCTTACCAACCATTGACCCAATTCTGCAAGAGATGTCAATTCTTATAATCTACATGTTGAACGACATCAATAGTATAATGCTGAAGTTGCATTTTCAGAATTGTTCTCTCATGATCACTGAAATCTTCAGGATAAAACTTTTCTACAAGTTGTCGTACATCAAGACTTCTAAAAGTCTCGTACGCATTTTTAGGATCTAGAGTTGAAGCAAGACGAAGCATCTCCATGGAACCATCACTGAAACGATGATCTAATTCCATTAATTGCTTCATAAAAGATATCCACTTGGTAATGATGCTCAAGTGTATGATCACTATGCTCATTACGAGCTCGATTCCCTCTGCTAACGTAGGAAGAAGACAAGTCGGGAATATCTATGTTACGTACCTGACAAGAAAACAAGTCAAGAAGAAGACAAGTTAGGAAGATTTACTTGATAACGATGTTCAAGTGTATGATAATTATGTTATGTACCTGACAAAATGACTTAACAACGCAAAGCAAAGCATCCCAACTTTCATCTTTCATTAGTTGCAATAACAATTTGGTAGATGCAACTAACCTCAATGAGTTAAAAATATCTTGATCTTTCCTTTGTAAAGCTTGACAAAGAATATCAGTGATCTCCATTATTTCTCTTTTGAGATGCAAGATAAATATGAACTCAAATGTCGTTATAGCCTCATATGCCGAATCTGCATCTCCTTTGATTGGTCCAGTTCTTTCCTCAAAAATTTTGAGCAAAACCTCACAAGTTGGACTGAACATCTTGATTAGGCTAGAAACCGATCTGAGATGAGAACTCCATCTAGTATCTCCGGCTCGTTGTAATGTACCAATTTGATTGAGACCTCTACCGGTCTCTAATTCATCAACAGAAATCAAGTATGCAATTTGCTCGACTTGTGCATCTCATAGTTGGTCAGTGCGTTTGGAAGAAGCACTAACAACATTGACAACAAAAGACAACGTTGTAAAAAACTTACGTAGTGCTACAACTCCTTGAGAAGCGGCCATTAATGCCAATTGCAACCGATGAGCAAGACAGTGAACATAATATGCGTGTTTACAATCTTCTAAAATCAAGGCTTGCAAACCTTTGAATTGACCCCGCATATTGCTTGCACCATCATACCTTTGTCCACGAATAGACTTGACATCAAGATTGTAATGTGACAACAAAGAATAGATTCCATCCTTGAGCGTTTTTGCCGTAGTGTCACGTACATGAACAAGTCCAAAAAAACGTTCTATAATGAAACCCTCTTTATTAACAAATCTCAAAACAAGAGACATTTGCTCTTTATGAGACCCATCCCGTGCTTCGTCAACAAGTAAACAAAAGGGACGACCACCAATTTCCTCACAAATCATTTGCCTCACCTTATTTGATATAAGATTCAAAATTTCCTTTTGAATCGACGGTGATGTATATGATGCATATCTGGGAGCATGACAAAATAACTCTTTTTTCTCATGCTCTTCAGTTGTGAACTTCTCAAATACATTTCGTATATCTTGCGCCTCATTAGATAAATGATCCCATCCCTTTTGTGCAACATTGTGGAAAGATGTACAATCGGTTCCCATATGCATCAAAAAACCACATTTTTTCCCACCCACCTTTTTCCAATTTCGAAACCCATCTATGGTAAATGCTCGTTGACCGTAGTATCCGAGCCCGGATGGCTTGTTAAATAAAAAACAAGGAAAACAAAATGCTGCATCCAAGGTCTTTGAATATTCAATCCAGGGATGTAACTTATACCAAGAAGCTTGAAAGCTATGTCTATGACTTTCTAGTCCAGATTTTGGAAACATAGAAAGTGTAGGTTGAAGAGGACCAAGATTCATGTAAGCTCGTCGAATTGTATCTTGTTGATTGATAGGATAATCATAAATTTGATGACGCAAAGCAGGGTCTCGTTCTAGTGTACCCAGATCAATATCATTACTTTCAATTTGAGCTTTYTTGCAAGGGTWTTCAATAGRSGGAATACTAGATGYAGGGGTATTATCTACATTTGTTGTTTCTTCGGGATCTTGAGAAGAAGAACTAGCATGCTTTCTTTTAAGAAACCCTAGGTTGAGTTTTCATCTTTATCTACATAGTAGTTTTAGTGTTAGATTGTATGATTTCAATTCATATTCATGACTGTTAACCAAAGAACAAACCAGTGAACAAACTAATGAACTGTTAACTGTGTGTCTGTGTACAAGAATGACCTTAATTTCCACATATATATGATTGCACATTGCAAATACCAAAGGCATCTCTAAATAACCAATTTCAGCCACATAACCATTAAATCACCACATAAAGTCATAAATTTAGACCTAATAATCACCTAAATCAGTAAATCACCACTTTTGGGTTTTGATTTCAAAACAAAGGGTGCAAAAGTTCACATTTGTGTTCGGCCCCTGTCATTAGCAGCAAGTAGTAGCAGTCTAGGTCTAGCAGAAGTGCAGAAGCAGTCAAGCAGAACAACAGCAGTCAACAGAGAATGAGAGAAGCAGGGGCTTACCAAGAGTTACCGTGGCCGGCTGGGCGCTGGCTGTCGACCCTCAAGTGCCGCCTCCACCTCCGCCTGCCGTCTACGCTGGTCGCTCCGTCGCTGGTCGCTGGCTCGCTGCGCAGTACGCTCCTCGTCCTCCACACTCCACACTCCACAGGCTGCAGTGGTCGCTGTTGCTCTCGCCTGAGTCGCCTCTCGGGATTGGTAGGGGGGACCGGTTGAAATTTTTGGTTTTCTAGAAGCTAATGGACTAATCTATTCAATGGTAATCGAGAAAAAAATCACAGGGGCTAGGGCCCCTATAGGCCCATTAGGCAGTCCGCCCCTGGTAGTGGTTTGATGTAAGTTATACTTTGCACATTGTATTTGTTAACATTTAGATTGATTATTTTATTGAAAAAAACATTAAACAGCTCACTAGGGATAAATTGGTCATTTTAACCAGTTCTGTCCAGTCCTGTCATGTCTTACCAAACGCTGAACAGCTGTTCTGTCCCGTCATGTTCTGTTCTGTCCTGTCCTGTCCTGTCCTGTCTGCGTACCAAACGCACCCTTATGAGTTTGTATCAAACTTTTTGTTTATTTAAGGATCTGGTTAATCAGTTGAACATGCAACAGGTAATTTAATATGACTTAACAGAAAATTGCTTGAAAAAATATTATGTGGAAATTATTTTTGCCAAATCATCTTCATCACAAATCAAAATTAGGTTTCTAATCGTCCGCTTCGAAAAACACGTCTCCTACCTCTTCTCCTTCCCTCGGTCGTAACCCTATACCTTCCTCTCGCCTTCTGTCGCCGTCGCTCACATTTCCCGTCCGACAACCGTTGCCCTCTTTGGCAAGCTGTTCTCTCCAATGATATTCACCAGGTACACCGAACAGCCTCACCTGCATATCTTCTTCTTCTGGAATACAAACTTGAATCTGAGATTCCTAATTGGAATATTGGATTCATGTTTTCTTCATTGCATTCCAGGACTCTTATTCCATCATCATATATGTTATTGGTATGAATACCACCCAATTATATGCATCTTGTTCATGCTTTGTACGCTGTTTTTATGCATCCGATTATATATTCTTTAGGTATAAAAATTCACTTACACCCTCCAATTGCCCCTCCAACAGAATTGGTTAAGCTATTGTTGTTAAGGACAATGGCAAATCCAAAAAGATAACTCTGTATCAACACAATGGATTTATGAAATAAACCTTAATGGTAACCCACATCCTTGTTTCAACAACTTACATTCACCACCATAAAGCTATCCAACAGACAAGTAAGCATTCTCAGAGTTCGAATCTCTTCCCACACCACCCCACCCCACCCCACCCCCCACCCCCCAATTTTCTTCCTTTACTTGACCACAGTTGACTAACATATCAATTCATCTATTGCCCCATCAAGGGCACAAGAAGACTACAAACCTTAAGCACTTCTCAATAAATCCTACATATTGAATTCCAGGTAATCTTTTTGGAGATATATTAATCGTCATCGTTATTGTTCTTATTGTTGTTGTTGTTGTTGTTATTATTATTATTATTATTATTATTATTATTATTATGAAATAGTTTGTACGGTTTCATAAGATAATAATAAGAAATGCAATTTTACTCCCAAATCTTGATAACTTGCCCCACAAAGGAAAGAAAAGTCATTTCTTCACATCTTCATCTAAATCATTCAAGCTAATTTAAATAGACAAATCTCATTATCATATTACATATGATGCATAAACATTGTTTTGAGTACAAGCCCAGATATAATGAATCATATATACTATTGCTCAAGGTTCGTTTTGCTCTTTAGTTCCTTTGAAAAGAAGTTCCTTAAGAAATCCGCAACACTTACTCTTCTAAATCTTGGTGGTGTATCAGCAGTGATTAGGCTTGGAGCTGGTCCCAAATCCCCATCACATTTCGGGCCTAAAAATATGGCTATTGAAAGCCTCTTCTTTTTCGAGTTCACGGTTGCTCTATGTTCTATGCTTTTATACATTCTGTTTGTCAGAATCTGAAAGTCGATAACCTTCAAAATTTTAGTAAGTACTAGATTGAAGATTACCTTAGTATTTGTTTTTTTGTCTTTCTTTCTCCAAGAAACAATCATAAAGCAAGTGTTAACATCACTGCTAAAGGTAATTGTGCAATCACTTCATTTGTAAAGTACAAAACAAATGTTTCTTATGGTCCAAAGCCAAAGTGGTGTTTTTTTTTTCTCTCTCTCTTAAAATGGTTTGTTTTATTCTCTTAAAGTGGTGTTTCTTTTTTTTTGTATTTTGAATTGTTTGTTGAACCATGAAATTAATAGAACAAAGCTTCAAGTAGACACAGATAAATGCGAGTGATGATTTTGAGAAAGAAATGACCTCCAAGCTGTCTCCAATATTAACAATGAAGGCATCATGGAGTGGTTTAATTGGCACCCAACTCCCATCCTTTTTTATTTGGAGACCTTCTACTTCATTGATTTGGAGGAGGAAGGTGATTCTAAGAGGATCTGAATGAGGGCTCAGACCGATGACTTGTTCAGGCTGTGGACATGGTGGATAATAGTTCATCCTCATAGTTTGCATTCCTTCATCAAACAATACTTTCATATCCTCAACCTCCATCTTCGAAGCTTTTGCAATGAAGACGAGAGTTGTTAAGGCAATGCACTTCATTTCTCTTGAGTATGCTTCTAGGGTATCTCTGTGTTAGAAATAACATCCAAGTACCTACGTAATGACTTAAATAACAGTTTTTTTCTTTCACGAACGGTTTGCTTTTCCAAATGCACGATACTAAATACAAATAAAGAAGGAATGATGTGATTCAATGAACAACCTGAATGGAAGAGGCAGGTTGGGAAACAAGTTCGCCTTCCTCATATGACGAGGGAGGGTAATCAAGTAAAACATGTCAGCGCAATCAAGCTTTTGCTCTTGGGATACGACAAAAGCTTGTCCAAATCCTTGAATATCTCCCACATCTTGCCAAAACTTGTTTTTCTCCTCCATTGGTAACTTGAAGAATTCTTGTGTTTCTTCCTTCACTTTGTCCAGCAATGAACAACTCACCCCATGATTTATCATCTAAAATGTAGATAAATTATTGTTCTTAGTGCACAATATTCCTCTCACAACTCACTTACATCATTAAATTCAATCAAGTTTTTCTTCGTTACATGTCTATCACTGGGTTTAAAAATGCGCGCAATATGCGAACTGATGCGTGATGCGATGCGATGCGATGAAGAAAGCGCATCAAAGGGACTGATGCGATGCGATTCCATGATGCGATCGCATTACCTACGCATCACTCGATGCGTGCATCAGTCGAGCATCAGTGCATCATGTATATGTTGTGTTTTTTGGGCTTTTTTGCAGTATTTAGTTGGGCCTATTAGTTGGGCTTCTTATGTTATCGAAATAGAACGTTAAGACTTAGCCTGTTATGTTACATTATCGACCTAATAGAAGCCGACGCAAAGAAGTAGAACGTTAAGACTTAAGACAGCGAAGAAGTAGAACCAGCAAAGAAGCAGAAAGCGTGAGTCTCGATTCTCGAACTCGACTACCAGGTCAACAGCAGATCAATACTCGAACTCGATTACCAGGTCGACAGCCTAGAAGAAGAAGAAGAAGTCGACAGCCTAGAAGAAGCTTGACAGTCTAGAAGAAAGTGCAGAATTAGAAGTCGACCAGCTTAGAGAATGTCGGAATCGGAACCTATTGCGAGTTCAAATTCAAACACTTCATCAGGTGACCCCGGTAGAAAATATGGAACTCAAGATCCTAAATGTAGGAACAATTTCACTTGTCATTTTTGTGGTAAAGTAGTTAAGGGTGGTGTATATCGTTTAAAATGGCATTTTATTRGAGGTCTATCRGCTGTTACTAGTTGTCCAAATTGTCCAGAACATGTAAAAGAAGAAATAASGTCTTATATGCAGAAAAAAGAAGTAGCGAAGGTGGAGAATATAATGAACTCAACTTACTTAAATTCGGATGATTATGATCTTGGTGAAGAGGACGATGAGTGCGTTGAAATAGAAGGTGGTAGTAGTAAGGTGCCCACACGAAAAATACTGAGACAAAAAGGTCCCCTAGATAGGTTCTTCACTCCTAATCCTGAAGACGTGATCAAAGGTAAAAAAGATAGAAAAGGAGGGATACAACAAACCATAAATGTGGTGGTTCGAAAGGAGTTAAGGGATAAAGCTTGTACGCAAATAGCAAGGTGGTTTTATGATGCCGGCATTCTTTTTAATGCCGCTACTTATGATAGCTTTAGTGTAATGATTGAAGCTATTGGCCAATTTGGCCACAGAATGAAACCACCAAACATGTATGAGCTAAGAGTCCCTTTACTCAACCAATAAGTAAAAACCGTTGAAGAAGAAGTAAAGGAACATAAAAAGGAATGGGCCCAAAAAGGTTGTTCTATTTTATCGGATGGATGGCGTGATTCGGTTGTCCAAAAAGACATAATTAAATTCATGGTGAACTCTCCAAGGGGTTCTGTATTTGTGAAGTCTATGGATGTTTCCGATGTCTCTAAAGATTCAAATTTGTTGTTTGGGATTCTTGATAAAATGGTGGATGATGTTGGAGAAGAAAATGTAGTCCAAGTGATCACCGATAATGCATCTGCGTACGTTAAAGCGTGTATGAGTTACTATTTTAGTCTATTCCTAATTATAATTTATATATTAATAATATTATATATGTAATAATAATACTATTACTATGTATGTTTAAGTAGTTACTATGTATTTTGTCACCTAATATTTTTATTTTAAACTTTAAACTTAAAGGGAAGATGCTAGAAGCTACGAGAAAGCATCTTTATTGGACTCCATGTGCTGCCCATTGCACTCCTACATCTTACAAGAGACGTTTTGGAGAAATATTGTGTATGCTCTCAAGTTGACGGGCCCTCTTGTTAGTGTTCTTAGGTTAGTTGACGGGGAAAGAAAGCCGGCCATGGGTTATATTTATGAAGCWATGGATAGGGCTAAGGAGGCTATTGCTAAAAGCTTTCCCAATCAAGAGGACCTTTACAAGAAAGCATTTGAAATAATTGATAATCGGTAGGAATGTCAACTCCATCGACCATTGCATGCCGCGGGCCATTACCTAAACCCGTCTACCTTTTATGACAATGCACAAAGGGTTGTAAGTTGTGAAGAAGTCATGGAAGGTTTACATTCTTGCATTGAAAGATTGGCTCCAAGTCCTCAAGTAGAAGACCTAATCTTAAGAGAATTAGGCAAGTATCAAAATGCGGAAGGACTATTTGGTAGAAATGCGACTATTAGGCAAAGGAAGGCAATGGCACCAGGTAATCATCTTAAATTGAAAATATATTTTTATACTTAATTACTTACACACTATGGATATTTTACTTTTTAAATATTTGTTCCTTATAGCGGAGTGGTGGACAACATTTGGATCTTCATCTCCCAACTTGCAAAAGTTTGCTATACGAGTTCTTAGTCTTACTTGTAGTGCTACAAGTTGCGAGAGAAATTGGGGTGTGTTTCAACATGTAAGTGTTGTACATGACATTATAAATTCGGTATCTGATTTTAAATATATCAACTAATATCCAATTAAACTTTTGACAGCTTCACACCAAGAAGCGGAATAGATTAGCACAAGAAAGATTGAATGACATGGTCTATGTGAAATTCAATCGTGCCTTGCAACGTAGATATAAGGAGGGAAGTAGTGATCCTATCATCCTAGAAGACATAGATGAAAGTAATGAGTGGTTGATTGGGAGGATGGACAATGATGATGAAGATGATGATTTGGTATTTATTGATGATGATCTTACGTGGGATGACGTAGGTAGAGATTCTAGGGCGTATGAGACTCCTCAGTTCACTAGAGCATCAAGAGGGAGCCGGAGAGTAAACGATGATGAGTCGGGTCCATCAAGAGCTAGAAGTGCTAGAGGAAAAGAACGTGCTCTTCAGGATGAAGATGATGAAGTTGAGGTGGAAGCAGATATTGCAGGATTTGATAATGATGAGGGAGATGAACCCGTGTTGGGGGTTTGATGATGCTAATCTTGGGGAGTATTAGTTGGTCACTTGGTTGGTCATTTAGTTTAGGGATTAGGACTATTAGACATTTACTTGTGTAATTGTGTTCTTCATGGTAGTAGTTTGTGTGGTATGTACTTCTGTTATTCTGATTCACGAACTTTTTAAGATTCTAATGCCACTTTTTTAACTACTTTATGTTATAAATGAAGTATTTTGATAGGTAAGTATTTTTAAGGTAGAAATTGATATGTAGAATTAATTTATAAATATTTTTTGAATACCGGGCGCATCACGTGCGTGATGCGAGCGCATCAGCATCACGCATCGGCTTCCGGGACCCTTAACGCATCGGATCGCATCGCGCTTTTTAAAATCAAGGTCTATCAGAACGAATCTGAATTAAGAAGCCACTAGATGTATAGCGGAACACATGTCTTTTAACCGGGGTGGTCGTACTTAAGCAGAAGTGGAAAAAATAAATCTTTAATATAGTGGATTAAGTTTTACTTACCTTAAAGATAAAAAATCGTAGGGGCCTTTCCCCCAAAGGCCCCTATAGGCTTCCGCCTAGTATGAATATTACAATTTTCTTTGATATTACCAAATTTTGCAAACTATTGTTGTAATGATTTCATCATGCTTGAGATTTAGTTATACAATAGGTTTGGTAATTTTGGAAGAAAAATAAAATACTTCATCCGTCCCAAAAATAAGTATCTATATTTTTATTTTAGTTTGTCTAAAAACAAATAGAAACTTTCAAATGTGAGTGCCAAATTTCTTGTTTTACCTATAATTACGAGATTGTGAAATTCTTAATTACTCTCTCTATTATTAAAAGTGCAATATTTAATTAATTACACATTTTTAAAATCGTAAACATTTTTATTTTGGGACAGAAGGTGTACCTTCACAAGATATTACTTTAAATCCATTACGTAAGTACCTGAAAGAAACCCCAATCTTTACGAGCAAGATGCAGCTTCTTCAATTCATGATTACATGAATCCTTGGATGCTAGTCGTTGCATATCAATTACGGGTACTTGTACTTCAGTCATTGCAGGCGATAAACTTGAAATGGCAGGAGGGCCATGATGAGGACGAACGTATCGAGTTGGAACCTTCGAAAGTGGTTTCTTAGCTAGTTCTTGGACGGTAAGGCACCAAAAGTGAACCCCCCAGCTTGTTGAATTTGGTTCCATGATACCCTCTAGATGTCCCTCGATCTCCCTTTGTTATATATACATATAGAAACTTCAAGCCATTGTTGATGTGTATCGGGTTGACAACTAGCTTAAATTGAACCACTCTGTATATGATTATTTATCGTTTTTTTAATATGAAATCACGGAGCACACGGCAGAAGATAATTTTCAATCTAAATGATAGATGACATCAACCAGAAATTAGATTGGAACGAAAACATTGTTCAGAATCAGATTGGCACATCACATGGTATCCATCTAGATGGGTCGCAAAACGTAGCTTTCGTCCATCTCTTGTGTTTCATCGAAAATGTTCTACATAATTATATATATATATATATATATATATATATATATATAATATAAAGATTTTTCTAGAATGAGGTTTTAGGTGATATTTTTTTTTTTTTTTAAAATAATAAAATGTATGATAATATAGTCTTTTAAAGGCATATATTGTTCATAGAGTATTAATATTAATAAGAGCAAAATACATAAAATAACAATCTACTTTCATAAATTTCTTTATTATAGTACTGTACTTTCAATTTTCTTTATTACAGCAATGTACTTTCAAACTATTTTTTATTATAACATTGTACTTTGAAAAATTTATTCATTATAGCATTGGGTAACCATTTGATTTAAATTTACCCATTATATCAGGTTTTCATGTCACCTTATTGTCCACACAGGTTGTCCACATATAATATAGTGATGTGACTTTCTTATTACAATATTGTACTTTCAAAATTATTTTTATTATATCGTCTACTAGTTCTTATTAAACAATGTACTTTTAATTTTAATATTTATATATTTTACATGTTATTTAACAAATATATTAAATGAATTAAAAAAGATTCTAAATTATTCATTAATATACCAATTTTAATAAAACTAGTAAAAGATAACTTATCACGCTAATATTTTTTAAAAATATGAGTTCTTTGAAAAAAGAAAATAAGAATTGTTCATTTTTTACCCAAAAAATATTATCTTTTAAAGAGTATATTATATTTGTTCAAAAACTTTAATTGACGTATAAATATATTAAATTAATTAGATTTTTTTGAATTATTTATTAATATAACAATATTAAAAAATTGTAGAACACAATTTATTTTGTTAACATTTTAGAAAGAACTTTAAAAGATATGTATTTTTTTGAACAAAATAAAGTAAGAAGTGTTATCTTTTTTGCAAAAAAAATGTATCTCTAAAATAATGTAGCATATTTATTTAAGAAATATTTTACTCTATAATATTTAATTTGCGTTGAACTTAATAAGAATAAAAAAAATTAAATGTTTTTTCAAAATTATAGTAATGAAAAATGAAAATCACTAATAATAATTTGAAATAGGTTTTTATTTTTATTTTAATTAAGTCATCAAAATGATGTGTTATCCACATCACCTCATTAAAGCCACACAAACAAAATAAGTCAAGAGGTTAACCGGTTTAAAAGATAACAGGTTACCAATTGCTATAATGGATAGATTTTTTAAAATGCAATGTCTTAATGAAAAATAATTTGAAAGTACATTGTTATAATAAAGAAAAACAAAAGTAGAATGCTACAATAAAAAAATTTATGAAAATAAATTGTTATTTCATGCATTTAACTCTATTAATAATTACCATAATAGTTGTCTTTGGAGAAAAGGGTTTTCAGAATTAATTTTTTTTAAGGTAAACTATATATATGCATCTTGGACCATCGGCAAAACTAATATGCATCGTTATAAATACCTATATGCATCAACTTGTTGTCGATATGCATTGCGTTGGCAAATAGAAATGAATTAGATACGTTATCTACATACAACAATTATTTCAATGAGCGTGACTTTAATCTACAAACAAGAGAGATAAAATTTTGATAAATACAGACAAACAAAATACGATGTATTCAATCTTTTTGCTTAAGGTCTAGTTTAAGTTTAAGACTATCTTATTGGTGATTTTAGTGAAATTATCGTTCTATTTTTGGATAATTGGATTGACAAATGAACATGTGGTTGATAGTAAACCCATATCATGGGTTAGAAGGTTCGAGTATACATTCATGTAAGCTAGCTAGATACTCACAAATGCCACTATATGAGGGGGTTAAGGGGCTCAAGCCCCTTGCGAGGTACAGAGGCAGCACCCCTGGTTGGTCCAAAAGGCAGAGCCCAAAGTGTTGATTCCAAAGGATTTCAGCATCAAGGGATAGCCAAAAGGCAGAGCCCAAAGTGTTGATTCCAAAGGATTTCAGCATCAAGGGATATACCAGTGGTTGTTCATCAATGTTTATAAACACTTATGGTTTAGATCAGTGTGTTCGTTCCATTCCAAAACAAATGACTTTTACCTACAAAAATCACCTAGAGAAATTTCCATCAGTGATTACCGATGGATCACCTAGAGAATACCAATGATTTGGTAGAATCCAATGTTTTTCGAGAAAATACCAATGGATCACTTACATAATCTCTGGGCAATCTGTCATTGATTTGAATTACCCACCAACAATTTATCCACCAACATTGTGATAGTTTTGTGATAGATCACCCTTTAGCGACAGATTTCCCAGGAAATTATTTTTAATAAAAAGTCTTTCATTTAGTAGCGTTAGCATACGGTTGCTTCAACTAGTTACCTGATGATTTGCCACTAATGTTCAACTAGCAGATAATTGCATCAGCAAGCTGATAGCTTGCGACTAATATGTTATCGGATGTTTCAACTTGCCGATGGGGGATATCAGTTTTATAATTGCCTCATTTGTTCTTGTCCACTATTTATTTCTAACAATCATTTATAATAATGTCTATTTATTGGAGAGTTACTTTCAGAATTAATATGAGAACATGTACAATTCTCTAGGTTTAAAGGGTAACAATTTTTGTTAAAATTTATTACAAACATTTGAGATTATTCTCGAGTTAATTTTGTGATATCCAAGTACATTTGGATCTAAATACAATGAACGTTGGTGCAAGTGTGCGAAATTTAATTTAAAACAACCAATAACACTTCTCTAATCTTAATATTTTGATGATTACAAACACCTGAGTTGTATTATATTCTGATCAATTTACTTGATGTGCATAATGCGAATATATCATACAAAACATCGTCTTAGGAACCGCGTCGCATTACATTGAGAACCGTTATCCGAATTTCGATTGGACTCGAGTCGTATAAAATTTAAAATTGGATGAATATAAAATGTTTTCTAAAATTAATTGTCGTTATTTTTTTTATAAAATGGTGTTAAAATAATTAAAATGGCTTTGTTGATCCATACTCTCTCAGTGATTTGATGATGATCTTTTTTATCTAGCGAAAAATACTTAGTTCTATTTTATTCAGTTTCAGCGGTCATCACTAAGTCTATTCAATGATTGCCGAACATATATTGTAAATCTTAAGGAACAAATATTCTTCAAGAAGATGAAACTCACACCATAAAAACCTTCAGTAATGTCGAAGACAACGCTGAAGATAGAGATAAACATTTGTGATCTAATGCGGTTTTTCAGTGATAACAAGCATGTCTACAATCATGTGTAAAGTCTGCTCAAGATTCAACAAACACTGAAGAAACTTTTAGAGTTATTCTAGTATTAGCGATCAAATAAATCTTGTTGTTCAAGATTAGTTTTTGTCTTATCCTCCTGCACACAAAGAACAAACTCATATCTCTCAAAATAAAGCACTTGTACGGAATTACTCTATAGTCTCCAAATGTGCTTACCTACTTTGTGAAAGATTACTGTTCATATACGGCCAAAAGCCTTTTGTTGGTCCCGTAAGGGTCTACAAGAAGAGAAACAGTT